ACTAAAAAAATATGCAACATTAACATTTTATTTGGGGTGTCAGAGCAAAGCAAGTATCACAATTTTATTTGTGAAATTTCGGAATACTATCCGTTAGTTTGTTATGAATACCTTTTTAGGCGCATTGTAGCTGATCTTCCACTCCCGAACAGGAGGATCGGTCTTCTCAAGTTCAAACTCTTAAAACAAAAGACAAACAAATTAATTTAATCTTTTTTTTAATGACGCTCAGATTCATGAATCTGCATAATTGTTACCCCTGCAAACTTGTTCCAATAGTGATTTATCAGCGCCCAGGACTTCCGCCATTTTTGTTTACAGGCGTTCATTAGCCGTCGTCAGGGAGGCTGTTGCTAGGGAAGTGCGTAACAATTAACTTCCGATGTAAACAAGCACCTGGCACAATCACCAACAGCTTTGTTCTTAATTTCTCCCAGCACAGAACTAGTATCTGGAACAACCAATTCATAACTAGGAAAAATAAATCTTTATTTCTGACAACAATGGATTGACAAAGGAGTAATCTATCTTAAGGATTTATTTTTAGTTACGAAAAATGTCTTAAATCCAAAATCTTTCCTATTACCTATAAGGAATTTCAAATGGTGATAAATGATATTCCCGGTGGTATTATCCAATTACTTAAAGGTCATTTTGAAAGGCAAGAGGCGAGAGAGAGTGGACCTCACCCTCTTTATTAATGGTGTAAACTTTATAAGTCATCAATGTAACAATAAACATATAAGGAACTATTTTTTTTTTTTTAGGAAAAGAGAAATTACTCTGAGAGGGAAATTTGTATGGTCCTCCTCTTTTTCTGATATTAACTGGAAAATAACATTGCTCCTTCCACACAAATTTGCTATTTCTAAGAAAAGAAAAGAAATCCAGTATAAAATTATACATAACATTTACCCTACTAACGCTTTTTTTTAAGCAAAATTTGTCAATATTGATGTCAACTGTGTATTCTATAATACTGAGGAGGAAACAATTAAGCACCTATTTTTTTAATGTAAATTTTCACAGATAATCTGGAAAGAAGTTGAGGTTTACATCATATCGCACTCCAACACACCAATTAAATCACAAGCCAAAGATATTATCTTACAATATACTAATAATGATAGGAAATTGAAACTCTTGGTTAAATTGATTATTCTAATTGAAAAATTCCACATACACAAAACCAAATTTTCCAAAGGTTGACCTTTCCTCCCTGTGTTTGAAAATTATTTAAAAAATGTATCTCAATTGTATTCAAATAAAAAATGTATACACACTTTTAACGCAATTCAATATTTGGAGAAATGTAATATACCTTGCCTTTTTTTCTATTGAAATTAGAGTATGTTATATCTTAATTTTAATTGTACTCCATCATTGAACACTTACTTTGGAGATACTGTTCTATATCTTGTGATATTTTTTTGTCAATGTTTTGTAATTTACAACTTTTCAATAATTTGTGGATTGAAAAAAAAGCACCTGGCACAACAGGCACCTGCAAACTTGTAATATTTATTATCATTGGATAGCTTGTAGCTTTAGACGTCAATTAGAATTCACCTTTCGATGATATAGCAGCTACTTCATTCTTCAGTTACTTTTAAAAGCAGAGGTGATGGGATATGCAACTTGCATCTTAGAATAGTTCATAACACAGAATGATAAACATTTTCATATCATAGAGCAATATGATAACACAAAACACAAAAATTATTCATGTAATAGAACCATAATTAAAACTGCAAAGTGCATGTTTGCTGAGAAATTGGAAAATGTCGCATCGCTAGTACTGGCATTAACCACTAGATGGCAGCATGTGGCCTTTCCTGTCAAAGTTAAACTGGATTCTCATTATTAGAGTGGAACCTGTCTTAGCCAAGGAATTACATGTTTAGGATATATCCCTATTTTTTTATATATCAGTTATAATACGGTGACATGCTGCTATCAATTATTGCCATTTATCTTAAGTTAATGACTTTTCATAAATTTATTTCCAGTTTCTTCTCACAAAAGCCATCATTATAGTCTATGATGAAGTGTTGCAAGCCCTTGCCATGTGTCTGTTTACAAACCCTGGATAAAGCATTTTTAGAGTAAGTTAACAATTTTACCCCTTTTTAACACCTCACCTTTTCAATACATTTTCAAATTAATGAAACACCTAAAAAAAAATCTCTTACAATAAAATCTTAATATCTTTACAGTCACATAATTAACTTTTTTTCTTTTCTTATAACTATCTATGTCTTTTGCTTGATGTATAGGGCTTTGGTTCCATCTGTGTGAGTGATACTATTAAAATGTCTTACCTTAAAACTGTGTTAGGATGACGATCATTCAAATATTACCTGATTTTATTTATTTTTTTGCCTTAAGTTATCCAATTTTTTATATTTATGTAATAATACAATATCCTTAGGATGAAAGAGTGCCAAAAAAGATATAAAAGATCAAAATAAATTTATTGGAATATATTCCAAAGCATTTAAGTCATCTCATGACTTAACAAAAATAGCCATTTATCTTAAAAAAAAAAAAAAAGCACTGAACAGATTTAAACATAATATACACTGCCAAAACTTATCATTTGCGGCCACTAATAACTTGTTAATAAATAGGATTGTGAGCAAAACGTTTTTACAAATAGCATTTTTGACCTACCCAACAACAAATCTTTACATAGCCCATTTTGAACAAAAACACCCGTGCCACAAACTTTTTTTCTTAAAAATTTTTGCAGTGCATCCTCTGTTGTGAATAATCCCCCAAATTAAAACAAACCAAAGAAAAACAATTACAATGAGCAACTGTAGAAATAATAGTAACATAATCATAATTATGACAGGATTTCTCTTTTGATAAAGCAACACTGATAAAAGTAGATATCATAAAGGAATCAACTATAAACAATGAAATATACAAATTACAATCCTTCAGGGTTTTAAAGTTTGAAGATCCTGTGTGAAGAGGGACACTTAGGCGAAGTAGAGGGGTAGAGAAAAAGATAAAACCAAACTTTGGTGAACAGGAGACATTTTTTTTTGTTTTCCTTTAGCTGCTAGATCTTGTCAAGAAGCTCCTGGCACTGGACTTAACACATTCATATATCATGCCGCACAAAAGAATTTATTTTAAACCTTCAACATTTTGTCACCTTAAAATCATAATAGTCATTGCATCTCAGTGGAGTTTAAGTTATTTACCAACACCAAGTTGTGCATAGTTAGGTTCATGATAATAATTCTTAATAAAAAAAATCAAAACTGATCAATATTTATGTTGAGCTTATAAATCACTTTGAATTATACTTTAATAAGATGAACATTAAGTAGTGTTTAGTTAAAAACTGAAAGGAAAAGAATCCATCGGTTTCCATTTATCGGACTAAATAAGATTATAGAAATGTATGTTTTTGCATTCATGCCTGAAGAACCAGTTTATTGAGATGTTTACATCTAAACACATTATTTGTTGCCCCTTTTTGTAAAAAAGTTTAATCTCAGTCAAATCTAACTCTCCTTTAAAGAGTTTAAGTGATTAAATCTCAATATGTATCCAGCTGCTCTGTGAAAGTCTCAACATCTGTCACAAAGACCAAGAAATGAAATCACAATAAAAGTAGTGGAGAATTTCAAACGAGTACTGGATAATAATCACTTTAAGCTTTAAACATTTAAGAGCTTTGCTTAATCTGTTATTCAGAAGTTTAGAAAAACTGCAAACTTTACAAATATATGCAGATTTACTGAAACTTAAGGGAACATTTTGCCGTAAAAATATGCAGCGGACAGATCAAATCCAATTTAAACAGTTTTAAGCTACATTCAAAGTCCTGTGTGACATCACCTTGGATGCAACCTCCCTACAGTAAAACAACGGTGGCAGTTCTGCACAGTGGGGATGCTTTTCTTAAGCAGGGTCAGAAAAAACTGCTAAACACAAAGCACACCTGGAAAAAATTGTTAAAGAGACAGCAGAATATTTAAATCTTATTTAGAGGTTTACCACTTTGATGGAATGGCTTCTGTTAGAATGACCTGGTCAAAGATGAGACTTAAATTGAACTGATTATTTTCTGCACCAACAGAAGGATGGTGTTCTCAAATGCTCTTTTTGAATAGACTTTTTGTAAATAATTCACTTTAAATGTGAAAATCTAGCAGATAAACAGCCTCAAAGGAATAACAGCTGTACCGGTTATTGACTTAAAGGTTCAGAATACAAATACACACCCTACTTTAGCTATTTAATAGAAAAAATTAAAACCATCCAACTTTTCCTTCCATCGTATACACTTTGGTGTTGGTCCATAACATAAAATCCCAATAAAACCTGTTAAAGTTTGTGACTTTAACGTAACAAAACGTGAAAAAGAATACTTTTGCAAGGCACCGCATATGAAAACTTTAGTGTATGTTTCCCGGGGAGCCACATGTTAGCATGACTCCCTGCATTAAACGTAAAGCGGAATAACCTAAAGTTTGTATCACATACAGCTAAGGTCAGTGGTTTTATATCGTTGCCGTGTGTTAAAGGAAACTTGCGTTGAGGCTGCACTATAGAAACATTCAGGACTTGTCCACGGTTCTTTAACAGTCAGTATGGCGATGGGAAAGCATTCAAACCGAGCTCAACATTTGTCAAACTCAACCTATCGGTGGACTTCTTTAGTTTAGCTGCAGCAACTACAGGAGTGACATAATTCGACAGCATCTCAGGCAAAGAAAAGAAGATCTTCTTCCTAAAAATAGCAGATTCTTATGGAAAAAGAAACAAACCAGACGCAGATTGATAAGGTGATTGAGATGAGCCTGTAACTCCCACCCCATCTAAGGTGTCCACCTTCCTGTAGAAAAGGGATGGATTTGTCTGCTCAGGGACGCCTCCCTACCCTCATGAGCGACTCAGTGCAATGAAAAGGGGACTTCTAGCTTCTTCTGTGGTTCCATTTCTTGCTGCGATCCTTTACAGTCCTTTACAGACTTTACAGTCCTTTACAGACACACAAACATCCCTGTGATTATTTCAGAATTTCATAAACCTACTTTTCATTCCATCTCGCCACATTTCTTTTACGTCCACAATGTCTCTGTCTTCATGGCTTTCATACCAAACTGTCCACACTGTGAGGTCCCCTCTGTTTCAAAGAAGCTGGTGGGAGTTATATACAGGTGGGGTGTTATGTAGTTTTATTAGTGTGTCTGCTGCTGGTTGCTTCATTCGGGACGAGGTTCTCCGTGGACCCTGAAGCGGTACAAGCACGTGTATTCTGGATGACCCCAGTTAGACAGAACCCGCACCTCGATAATCTGGAAAGATTTCTCGTTTTTCTCCTGAAAGATAAAACGGGAATTAATTTATTGTTTTAGGCAGAGACTTTAAGTGTTTTATTTACATTTGAAACGTATCAAAGTTGATTTGCAAGTTACCTTAACAGGAAAGATCTGCAAAGCCTCGCCATCCTCCTCATATGTATAGTCCCCAAGCAGTGTTCCTTCCTCTTGGTACTCGTCATCTAAACCCTAGTAGATAAAATAATCAAAAATAATCATTTAATTAAATATTCACAGCCTTTTTTTAAGCTATTGTTTAGAGTTACTTACAAAGACAGTGAAGTTGCGTGGAGCACTGGTGATGTTTCCTGTGGGAGAGAGGGCCTTGGGGATGTGCTCCACACAGAAGGATGTGGGCAGGATCCTCAGGGATAGCCTGATCACCAGATAACCTTGAGAGCCTTTAAACGCCCAGCAGTTACCAGGATACACATCAGGCTAAAGGAAAAGAGAAAGGCAAAGGATTAAATCTTTTTTTTTTTTTTAAGTGGTCAATTTAAGAGGTGTTAAAGTCTTCTTTTGTTTTGCTGTTTTCTCTCATTGTTAATTTTCCCTCTTTTGCGATATTACAGTGCTGGAGGGGTGCTCACCTGGATGACAACACGGGGAGACTGGGAGAAGTACCAGAGCGGCAGGCCGAACAAACTCATCAGGGCCGTTTTTGTCTCATACGTCTCGGAGCAGCGGGTGCTAAGGATGCTACCACCTGACGAAACAGAGAAAACTGTTACACACAAGATAACATAATAGAACTCTCCTTATCTGGATTATTGAAGAACTTCTATTCTATTTATATGAAATGGTCAAATACAGTGTATTCCTAAAGAACTTCAATCTCTTGACTTTTGTTATCTAATAAATCCAGGTTATGTGATAAACCAACACAATATACCCCCCTTTAAGCTGCGTTTACACCGAAGGCAGCAGGAGCAGCAAAAACGTGTCTGCTGCTTCATTTTTGCTGCTTGTACCAGTTTAGTTCTGATGCGCGGCTGAAGCAGCTTTGCTGCTCTGGCTGCGCGGTGAAAAAGTGGATCTGACGCGCCTTGGGCGGAGCTACTCTATCCTTTATTTGACTTGCAGCTATATTTGCTTTGATCAGTGGGAATAAAGTAGTTTTGATATGTTTTTTTTTTAAGTGGGAAAAGCCACCTCAAAACTTAATCTGTGCAGTCAGTTCATCCAGATTACCATCTTGCCTTCCATTATTATTTCTCTCGGAGCCGCTCAGACCCCCACATACCGGCGGTGTGCTGTCAGTAGGAATCCCTTCAACAGCAGCCTCTGACCCGGTCGCCTCCTCGCGGTTCGCTGCGGCAGCTGGAAGCGGTTTTCATGTACATAATCCAAACTGCAGGCACCAGGATAATAAAAGCGAACATGTTTTGCCGGCAGGTTTCTACATTTTAAGCTAATTTAGGCGTTAATTAACTATTTTAGTGGAGTGATCACAGCGCTCTGTGTCATCAACGATGTGTCTGTCTCCCTGTCAGCTCCCAGATCAGCGTCTCTGGTTGATGCGGCGAGTTGAGCAGCAAAAGTTCAATTTTTTCATCTCGAGCAGCAGCGCGTTTGCGTCGTGTCGCACGCGTCAGATGCTTGAACGCTCCCAACGCGCTGCTTTAGCTGCTCAAAACGCACCGCGGGACATTTTGCTGCGCCTTGACACGCGTCAACCATTGACTTTGCATGTAAAATCGCTAATTCTGCGGCTCCTGCTGCGTTCGGTGTGAATGCAGCATAATAATGAAATGGAAGAACAAAGCTAAAAGTTTTCTCAGAAATGTTTAGATAAAAATCGTTATTTCTATTTTTCTTGTAAATACTTTAGTGTGAACAGTTGAGGACTCTGATTAGAAAGCTTCTGTGAGGGTGCAGCTTCTCATCTGGATTTACGTGGGGACTTTGATTGGATCGTTCTAACATAGAACATGGTATAGTGGATTAAGCTCCATGTTTGGTGTTTAGAGCCACTGCTTTATAATCTAACCATGTTTTAACCTTGTCTATAAAATTCTCTGACCCGTCTCTCTAAATCCTTTACTGTACAGATACAATCATATCTTATCCCAAGTGGGGTCGCGAGGGATGCTGGTATCTCCAGCTGTCCATCGCAGAGATACATTTAAACTGATCTCTAACTAGGTGAAAATCAAATGTTGATATTTTTTATTTAATAAATACAATGTATTATTTTTGTCCCACCTTTTATATTTGCACCAATTGGTTTTGTCAAATTTATTTATCCAACAAAATACATTCAAGTTTGTGATTGCTATGTTTGCAGAGCGTTTTATGGGTATTGTACAAGTGTTGGATAAACACAGGTGTAAAAGTGATGACTTTTTTTTTTTACTTATTTATGAAAAAAAATGTTTAGAAAGGCAACATCTTTTCCTTTATTATCCCCAATTATAAGATCCTGACTTTGCATTTGAGTCAGAGGTCTTTCTGCACGCGGTTTGTATGCTCTTCCCAACCTTTCCACATAAACAAACAGTATACATGCTATAGCTCTTTATGTTACCTTTAGTATTGGCTGTAAGGATAAAGTAGAAAGCATGGATGAATGGATGGGGAGACAGCAGATGTAAGTCGATTCACAAGAGTTTAATACCCTGCAGACTTCCAGCCTGCTAATGCCTTTGTCCTTATTACATAAGACATACGTTATGTAGTTATAGAACAGCTAGACTGCTAATCCCTTTAAAGCACACCAGAGTTAACTACTGACCTGGATACAGGCTCAGGATGGACGTGTTTCAATCTTACCTCCAGACTCCAGGGCATAGTCCACCTGACCCGTGCGGTCTTGGGAGTAAAGCTTCAGGGCGTTCTGAACAATCAGCTTCACATGCTTTTTTTTTTTTTTGTATCCAAATAACAAAACAACAGTTTGTGTCAAACAAATAGCTTTTTCTTATTACATTTTAAGATGAAGAAGTGAATCCTTAAAAGCAGGAGTTTCTCTTACTTACCTCCTCAGAGAGGCCCTCCGCTGTAGACGTGTGCTGAACCGTCCCCGTTACCGTCTGAACGATGCTTCTGGTCCTGGTCTCGGCTTGGTTTAGTGTCTGAGCTTGGCTGTGCTCCAGTTGTAATGATATGTTTTTCAGGATGCTATGCTCGATGGAGGCCAGAGCCGCCTGCAGGTCGGGCGTGCTCACATAACGCTGTGACAGCCATTGAATCAGAGATTCAGGGATTTCCCCCTGCTGCTCTGCTGATGAACCTCTGCCAAAGAACAAAGCCTGTAGCTCTTTCCTCAGCTGCAAGGAAACTTGACCAGATATCTAAAGAGGAGGATTTGAAAAAGAAGGAAATCTTGATCACCAGGGAGTTTGAACTCTTAAAGAACATTACTTCAAAGCTGGAAAGTGTGTTATTTACAGTCTCCTGCAGTCCATTCAGCTGCTCACATTTGCCCTTACATCCTGCAACGCCCTGCAGGTCCCCCCTGATTTTACCCAGCTCTGCTTCAAGTCTCTGCACCTCAAGCAGCAAAGCATCATGGTCCTCCTGCTTCACACTCACACTGACAAAAAGACAGAAAACTACACATTAAACATTTTAACACCAAAAACTTCAACCAAGAAACCAGAAATAAATGTGTTTTCATTTAAGTTTTGAGATTTAGTCATTTGTCTTTTCCTCTGTACCTGACAGGAGGCGAGACTGCAGCAGATTTAGAAACTTTCTCCCTTTCATCCCTCTTCTGCTCATACTTCTGTTGGTTCTGTTGCATCTCCTATGATAAACACATGGGAAGCTTTATTCAGAGCATTCATTTGGATTTCTATTTGCTGTTTTTTGTTATCTAATCTGCATCCTCTGTGTTCACTTGATGAGGATGAGGATGTGGTCTTGTAAGGATGCTGGAAACTTGCTGTGCATACCTCAGTTTTGGTTGCCAAAGCCTTGAGCAGCAGCTCCAGATCAGCCAGACGTGATGACTGACTATCATGTTGCTCTTTCTGCAGCTCTAAACCCTGCAAAACAAACAAATAAAAACTGATTTAACAGCTGTGTAACAAATAAAGCTTTATGTTCAACGTTTGCAGAGGAAACTAAAACCAGACTAGATTTCAACATCCGATTCTACATAGATTGTGAATGATTGTGAATGTATACAGACACATTTTATACATGTTTTATTATACAGAGCTCTAATTTTTCAGCATTACATCAAACCCCTTCCAACCATTTCCTTCTGTGTGGAAGAAAAATACAGCAGTACATTTGTCTATAATTATGAGAGACAGATTGGCCTATTTAATTTGCACTGCATGGATTAACAAGCATTATTTCATTTTATATTTATATGATAACGAGTTACAGCCTGTCAACATGCAAGAAATATTTTTTATTCTAAAATATTTAATATGTTTTGTTGGTCATTTAAATGTGTTGAAATGATTTTAATCTATAGCTATACATTTAGCTTTTTAAAAACATTTAAATAGTTCAGTTTGCACCGTTTCATGTTAAATTTTCTTCTGTGAAATGTAAATTTATAAGATCATATATTCAGTTTACTAATAAACATTTGAGCATATTTTACAATTCCATTAATGTTAGATCTAAACACATTCGTATATAAAAATGTCACATATTTTTTGTTATTAAGTGAAGCAATAGTAACCTTTTGTGCCAATAAGTTTAATATTATTTTAAATTTGCCTTTTTGGAAGATGTAACCAGTAATATTAACTAATTTATTTTCTAAAGCACTTCGGACAAAACTGGCAGGACCAAAGGCTGTTAAAGATGATCAAACCAACCTGTGCTCTGTTTTTGCTCTCCTGCTCCAGCTCTCCTCGCAGCACCCCCAGCCGCTGCTCTATCAGAGACGACACCCACACCTCAAAGCTCTCCCTCTCATTCTGACTGTGGAGCTGCTCTCTCAGGGAGCTGTAGAGACCCAGAATATCACTGTGACGCTGGTCCTGCTTCTGGTCTCCCTGCTGGACTTTGTCCCACAACAACGCCAGCTGTCGCTCAACACGTTCGAGACGCTCCAAGTCCACCGTACTGTGGACGCTGACTGGGGGAAGGATTGGCTGAGAGGGAATATAAATCAGATATAATTATAATAATCTGAAGTTTTACTCTTAATCAATACAGATGCTAAATACTGTAGTTTGTGAAGGCATGACACATTCAACATTTTGTTAAATTATTACATGGATTTCCATTATACTTTACTATCAGCTATTATGTATTGTGTACAATGACAATAAAGGCTTTTAATTCAATTCAGTTGCAACAAACTGAAGTCAGGACATAAGGAATTAAAGTCCATTTGTGTATAATTTCATCTAATTTAAAACAAGCTGCTCAGTAAGACTCGCTGACAAGCTGGGCAAGCGAAACAGCAGACAGGTCAGGGAAACATTTAGGAATGGGAGGTTATGATAAAATACATAACTAATATAAGACATTGCCTACAGCCATCGGAACACTTTTTACATAAAAAAACAAAACAAAAAAACATTATTTTTTGCATTTTACAATAATGCACTGATTTCTTGTGGTCAATTATATAAAACTTGAAAGCAAACTACGGTACTAAACTCTTTGGTTGTCAGAAAGTTTAATAAGGTTTATAGATGTTATTTATTCTTCTATTGCCATTATATTGTCACAAGTACAGAGCAATGAAATGAACTCTGCATTTAACCCATCCTCTTGGGTAGCAGTGGGCTGCCATTGTGCGGCGCCCGGGGAGCAGCGTGGAGTTAAGGGTCTTTGTTCAGGGAGCCAGAGTGGGAGTGAGGCTTGAACTCAGAACCTCAGGATTCCAAGCGCAATACCCTAACCACTAGGCCGCCACTCCCCAAAGCAGGCATTAGTGCGAAGGGTCTTGCAGAACGGTATATATCTCTCAGGTGACGGTATATATTTCTCTTGCTGAAGGACCCACAATGGCAGCTCATTCCCCCCAGCTGGGATAGGAATCCAGGCCTCCTGTTTGCATGATGGGTGACTTAACACTTAAGCTAGCCAGCAGCAATGAACCAGTTAATATTAAGGTTACTAATTCCAATGAAGCACTGAGGCTACTCACTGTTGCTTGCGAGACTGGAGTGACATGAGCCTGCTCCATGGGAGACTCTGTTGCAGGGACAGCAGCAGGAACAGCAGCCAAGTTCGAGAAGTAGTTGAATGAGGATCTAGAACGCCACTCAGTGAGGTTTATGGCTGGAAGGTAGGCAAGCAGAGCAGCGGCGGACGGAAGCCACCACCATAAAACTGCAGGAGGACAGAAGAACATGAGCTTAAATGTTCCTTAAAAGAGAGATCTTTTATAACAGTCTTTGTCTCATTGGTTAAACATTTTCTAAACATTAAGGTTACTAATTTCAAATCCTATACATGGAATATTGACATTTAAAATTAAATGTGCAGCAAAAATAGAGCAAATAAGATTGAAAGGTTTTGATTCATAAACTTTCATCATTGTGTAAACTGTATCTGAAAACTTAATTAAAGGATACATTATTAAAATGCATCACCTGAGAAATATATACTGTTTTTTAATGTCTGATCTACAGTGAAAACTCAAAAAGGTTGGCCTGTTTCTGCTGCTACATTTACAGCACTCTAGAGATCTGTGCTGGTTCCAGTATTTGCACATCTTTCTGTGTGTGCTGACTAGAGTAAATGGATTACATCTAGTTTAAAACTAGATGATTCACTCACGCAGAAGGAGCAGAAGGAGCAAAAGGAGCAAGAGGAGTTTCCAGAGTTTGGGAAGGCATCTGAAACACAGAGGCACACACTAAATATTACTACTGATAAATACAAAATAATATAAAGAATTGAGACCAGAAAAATCCAGATTAGAAACCATAAAATGTTCCTTTAGTCAAATATTTAAAAATGATTTAAGTAGAGATTTTATTTTATATTTTTTATTTAACTCATTTTTTCTATATTGCACATTTTCTGGAGCATATTGGAAAATAAACTTAATTTAGTAGAAAATAGCCACTTTTATTTATTCTTTAGAGTCATATATAATGCATATTAATAACAAAATATCAAACCTATTTATTATTCATTCACATTATAAAAGGAAAGCAATCTTACTGAGTCAGAAAGAAGACGTTGAGGAAAGACATGAAAGACACCATCTGGTACCATCCTGTTGCAAGAAACCACAGCAGTCCCTTTCCTGCCTTCACTAAAAGTGGTTGAAAATGCAAAAATGATTTAAACAATCAGACAAAAGAAGGGATTGAGGATATTTTTTAGAGAAATTAAGAAAAAAACTAAACCTACCGGGGGTTGCTACGATCATCCAGAAGAATGAGAGGAGCCTCTGCGCTGCTGAGGTAACTCCTGAACCTAAAGCTTTACCAGCCCCAAGCACACATTGACCAGGCTGCAGCAGACAGGAACCTGCAATATAAAGTGAATGAGGTTCACCAATAACATCCGCACATCTTTTTTACAAAGATATTCTTTTACACACGTCAGTGTAAAGGAATGATCAGCGTTAGTAATGAAGCTTCAGTTAACCTGCATAAGCTAGGAGGCTCCACAGCGCCCCCATGAAGCGCCTTGACCTAGAGGTCTGTGTGAGGACGACGGTGTGAGACTCAGTGTACTGCTTTCCTTTACAGTCATCACCTGTGTTTTCAAAATAATGGACAGCAGAGAAGCAGAATGCAAACATAATCAAACAAAAGTAAAGAAGCTGCATGAATAAATTACTCTGCAATCAGTAAACATAAATGAGAATCAAGCGCCTATAGCAAACTATAGAAAATTATACAATGATAACAGCTGCAAAGCTTGATGGAAAACATTAACATAACCTTAAGAACACCATTCTAAAAAAAAAAAAAAGGCTTTTGTCTTATCAGCTTGTTTAATGATTTAAAGGTGAAACTAGTTTGCGTCATCGCCTCGACTTCAGCAGAAAGTAAGCGATTAATCACATGAGGAATCTATTAATGTAGGACCCAATCAATAGTTTTTATTTTTTGCAGCCCAAATAAACCTGTGTATTTATTAGTTAGCTTTGTTTTTCTTTTCCCTGGATTTAATGATTGAAATACCCAAGAAAATCACACTGGCTTACCGGTAAAAGTATTTTGTTAACATAGAGACCCTATTTATATGGTGTTTAAAGTCTGAGTTGATTCTCTGTATCAGAAAAAATTATGTTTCTCAGAAGTCAGGAGGGAATTAAATGTGTCAGTTACACATTTCCTTAAAAAACATTTTGTGAATCCATTATTTTGATTGGCTGATAGGTCACCAGTTACAGCTCCTAAAAGCTGTACTTAGTTTAAAGACAAAGACAGAACCAAGCCTTCAACAAGTCTTTGTCTATCAGAGTGAGAACAAGGACCTATTCCCCTGTTAGGATGGTTAATGTGTTCAACATTTGTTTTAAAGCCATTCAATTTTGATTAATCGACACTTTGTGATTTTAATATTTTTGCATATTAAATTCATGTATTTACAAACCTTCAAGCCACGCATTACAAGCCAACTAAAACGTGAATACAATAACCGTAAGAAGTAGGTACCTGCTATGCCTCTTCACTTTCCATCCAATTTCCTTTATATCTATTTTCTTTAAATAAAATAAACAGACTAATAAAACAGACATGCATCATAATCACATACTATGACGCATTTTAAAAATGATGCTTTTTAGAAACCCTATATGGATTAGTAAGGTTTTGCTTCACTTTCTGCAGGTCATGAAGGTCAACAGGCTGCAGAGCAGTTGGAGCAGTTCACACAACCTCTGCCCACTGCTCCTGACACGGGGCATGCATATCATTGACTTTGTCAATCAGGAACCCCACACAAAGAGAAAAGAGACCATGTGTTGTGTCTGCTTACATAGGGAACCATTGAGATTAAGATGGGAGGTTTCTTCCGTCACCAGATCCTTCACGTTCATGCTTCCACAGAAGCTAGAGTGACCTGCAAAACACAAATGACAGATTCATTTGCATGATGAAAGTTTTTTTGCGCCGAGCATCATGGAGAACACACTAGAAGTCGAGGAAACCATGATGACACAAGATTGACTGTGGAGGAAATTTAGCTTTTGCCGTGAAGCAAGCAGGCATGAAACCAGGGAAGAGAATGCACAGAAGAACCTGCTAGAAACAGGAATAATAAATAAAGAAGTGAAAATGAACCATCAGAGAAAATACAATCGCTGCCTCTGTGGAACGAATGCAATTAAGGAAAACATTGGATAGAAACATATATAAAAACTTTGGTCAAAAACCTGCTTTCCATTTATGGGAAGAGGATTTAAGGACTTCTTAAAAAAAAGCATAATCGTTAAAATATTAGGTTTAAAAGGGTTTCAGAAGTTGACCTTAAAGGGACCATTCAAGTGCATATCTACTCTCATAATTGAATTTAACATAATGAAGTGCAACAGGTGTTATGGTGTGTCTGAAGACTTGAAACAATGGTGTGGCAAGTTATTTTGATTCCTGTACAATTCCCCTTTCAAAAACAGAAAAAGGCGTGAAAGTGAAAGTTGATCAAAAAAAAAAGAGGAAGACTATAACATTCATCAAAGGCTCACAAACTTTGTGAGCGAGCAGCAATCTACTGTATCTCTGCAGCAGTTTTCTATATGGTTCAACAAAAAAGTAAAAGTTTAGAAAGTAAAGAAAGTTCATTAAAGGGAGAGAAGCAGAAAACCTAGAGCTGTGATTTTTCTTTTCTCCAGCGAGCCAACGGCAGATACCTTGTTCTTCAAAGCCATACACCTTGGAGCCCATCATCCTGTGGAGGGCAGTCTGCCTAAATAGCCACAGGTTGGACAAAGAAGAGGACCAGGCTTGTCTCCAGGAGTCTGAGAACGAGGCCTGGACACCTGCTGACACATCCGACGAAACCCCTGTCCACATAAGCACCGTTAGTCCAAATTGAGACCAGATTAATGGTTAGAGAGACAAAAACACTGCCTTTGCAAATGTATTCAAACCCCTTGAACTTTTGTTGAATGTTGGTTGTATTTTTCTGACCACCTTTACTGTCCCTGCAGAGGAAAAGTGAGTCTAAAGTCTAATGCTACAACTACCGTGCATACAGGTGATGTAAGTATTAGTTTCCTGAAACTAGAGATCAATATTTTAGCATCAGACATGGTGTTCTAGTACTGCAGTGGCAGAGCCAGGTGGCAGAAAACTGATGGGCAACAAAACCAGTTTAGGGTCAATCTAAACTAATCACACTAAAAGAAAAAAAAAAACATCCATATTCGCATAATAAATCAATAAAGACAAGAGTAGATTTTCAGAAAGCCTTTGCCAATAAATCTACAAAAAATAATTATACAAGTATGTTGTCTAAATTGGTGAGGGGTTCTGGCTGGAGACCTTATCTATCAGGACACTTTGTTGCAGATCTGCATAATGGTGAACTCCTTCACTGTCAGGAAGAAAAATCAGTCCAAACATTCAACCTGAGAGTATCACTGCTGCCAACTTCTGTTTGAGATTGGAAAGTATGGGGTGGCCACTGATTTGCTATTGATGGCCAGCGCCGACCCTGGCCCCACTTCTAGCTCCACCCCTGCTACAAAAGCTTCATCATCACTGGTGTATAAGACAAAACAAAACAGGAACTTCTCTACTATCTCCCTTCATTCTGAGGCTTTAAAGAACAGGGGATATTGGTGTAAAATGAAATAGATAAATAAAGGAAACATTTTCAAATTTCTTTTAGTAAGTAATGAAAAAGAAACACATGAATCCTCTCCCTTTTGCTTTAACATGAAGTCCTACCATGCAACATTTCATTAAAACACAATTAAAGATTTTAGTTGCAATTTGACAAAACTGTATAAAGGTTCTAGGAGTATGAATACTTTTAGGAGGAACTGGAAAAATAAAAAAGATTATCAGTAAGGATCGGGAAGAGAAGTAAATGACAGAAATTCAAATCCAAAACAAATCCAGACAGCAGAAATAGAGGAACAGACTGATCGAACAACAGGAAAGAGTGAGAGATAAATAAAAAACTAGAGAGCCAATGATCAGAGGACTGGATACGGAGAATAAAGGGCTGATGGTTAAAAGAATACCTTTTCCTGCTGAGCTCCTGGTCTTAGTAACCAGCCAGACCAAACTGCTGTAGAAGATGGAGACTAACGACGCGATGTGAGCCAGGGCTTTTTTGCTGTATTGCATACATGAGTTCCCCATTGACATCAGGACACCTTTGGAGAAACATCAATAATTATTAACATTCTCCTTCTCACGTCATTTATCTGCTTATACAGGGTTAAACATTCCAGCTCAAATAGTTTCACATTAAAACATTTTCTTACCCGTCTTGTTCCTTCGACTTCTGTCCCTGGTATAAATACTTGTGTAAGGTGAAGATACGGAGGAGAGGACATCAGTGGAGAGTTCCGCTGTTTGGCAGGGCGATGAGGATAATGATGACTCTGTGATATGGGAGTCCGTTTTCTGAGAGTGAAATGAACAATCTTTGCAGATGTAACCATTAGGTAGCGAGGCGTGGGACTTGGAAACGCTGGCATCTCCATTGATGTTTGATGAACTGTGGCTGGAGCGCTGCCCTGAAGCAGATAGAACAAACAGAACATTTAACCAACTTGATTTTTAAGATAATAGCTTAATTGCGAAACGTGGCTTTTCTGAGGAAATTAAGCACTTAAAAATGTTCTGTGATCAAATCTGTGTTTTTTCATCTCACCCCACTGTCCATCCACAGTAGTGGTTGTGGTAGTCGTGGTGGTGGTTACTCGGCGCTGCCTCAAGCGAGATTGATCCTGAGCCGACGCCAGCAGTGAGACGTCAGACGTTCTGTCGCTTTCATGAGTGGTTCTGCTGCTGTCGATCGGGGTACTAGCAGCTGAGAAGGACAGGGTTTGTCTTGGTGTTGCTATTTGGCTCAGGGATAAAGACATAGAACTGGACGTAGACTGCTGCTTTCTGCTTCGTGACGTCCTGGGAAAGAAAAAAAAATAAAAGAAAAAATGAGCCATGCACTGTGCTGCATGTGATTACATATCTGAGACACGATGAGAACATTAAGATTCTCACACAGGTCAGATGATGTAAGATGGTAAACTGTACAATGCATGATGGCTTTGAAGACCAACACTGTGTGAACAGATATGTACAAATCAGATGGCTGGGGGTTATTGATTAATAGGGTTCCTACGAGTTAAGAAAAGTTACATTTAAAACTTTTAAGACCACTTAGGTTAAAATTGAATATCCATTTTATGGGCATATGAGAAAAAAAAAAAAGAGCCTTTCTGGAATATAAGAAAATGTATTTATTTAAATCAGGCTGAATTTCAGTTGCCAACTACGGTACACACAAAACTGTGTTTAAATGTGTATAAACACAGAAAAAATTAAAGGCACAGATAAACAGCCGTTCCAATCGTTGCATTACCGAAATCTCCTGAGTGATGCACGACTTTACACGAGTGAATAAAGTGAATGTGATTGGTCGTTTACCAAGAGGGCAGGATTATTGTGGCGGAAGGGTCGAAATCAAGTTTGATTGTGGCTGGTGTCTCGGAAGCATCTTGCTAACCAGTTAGCAACTTAGTGCTAGTAGGATCACAATGGGAAATTACACCAGGACCAAATAGCACTAAATTGGTGAGTTAGAAATTAAACTATCAAGGAACGCTATGGACAGCGGAAATATGCAAGAGGAGGAGAGTTTTGTGTCGGAGGTCGTGGACAAGCCTCCCTCGTAATAAATTTTTTACTTAGAGGAGGAAAGTGGGGACGAAGATGCTGTGGAGGATGTTCTCTCTCTGTCTCCTTGTCTACTTGTCTGTCTAAAGGGATACAAGCCCGTTGAGGTAGTTTAAAGTGTTTTTTTTCGAACATACTGTAACTAAAGGAATAAACAGGGATGAACTAAATTGATAAATGTTACTAGTATACACATACACAAATTTAACATCTTGCGCATGCGTATTGACCATGGGTTTGCTGGCCTGATGAGGTATGTTGATCTGACAGAACACTGGATACACAAAGTACACCAACGTTAATGTTAGTCACAACTTTTTTAGTTCTGCTGCATGTACGGTCCTTCGCAGATCAAAGTGAGGCATGAGGAATCTTGCATAACTACAACTCCAGCGCTCACATAATGTTTGTGCAGCGCCAAGCTAATAGCTGTCAGCCATCTAGACTTTTCTGAAAGTCTTATGTAGATCTCCAATGGTGCATTTCTAATAAACAATCCAACACTTAGCTTGGTGGCTTGCTAGACTTATAATACGCTTTAAGACCTATGACATTAAATTTAAATGTGTAAATTTAAGACGTAAGATTTTTAATACCCCACAGGAACCCTGGTTAAATCTAGAGAAAGAAATTCCTATAAAAAAAAATATATACGTATAGATTTTTGGTGGAACACGAAAAAAGCGTCAGCAACGCAGTTTCCAAATGAGCAACAGCTAGTGGGATGTTAACAGGTCAAAAAAAGCAAATTTATTGGAAAGATCCCTGTTTTCGTTTTCCCTAACAGCTAGTTTGTAGTAGTCTGATTTTTATTTATTCGTTAGTTGATTCATGATTTTTGTTGTCTAAACAAAGTCTGATCAGTTTGAATTTTTTTGTGTGTGCGCACACAAAGGAAAAAAAAAATCAACTACAACTATGCGTCACAATTTAGTGAAAAAAAGGATAAAATCAAAGAAAATCAAGGAAAGACACAAAAAATATATCTAAGGGGTCAAATGTTACCAATTCTCTTCTTACATCACTTCATCATTATAGTCTGCCTGTTTTTGTTTTATTTGTTTTACTTTTGTAAGAAAGAGTTTTTATAAGGGGTATCAGAGTAAAGTGTTTGAATACAAAGATATATTGAACTTCTTAGAGAAGAAGAGCAAATGTAATAAGCCTTAGTCTTAACAAATGACTTTGTGCTGGTTTATCACAAAAAATAAATAAAATTTAAGTTTATGGTTTCAATTTTAAAAAGCTAAGCGTTTTCAATGTGAATTAGTGCTAATGTGAGTTACTGTAAAATGCAGTCAAAATAAAGGAGGAAAACAAGTTAACATCTGAGTTTAATCAAGTCATCAAAACTTTTAACAGAAATAAATAAAAGAATAAAAAAATTGGAAATCAAAACCACATAAATCAACTAAGTTTGTAAGATTGGATATAAATTAAAATCCAACCAGAATTTAACAATGCAGCTGGTAAGAGAAAGTGTTCAGAAAGCGTTGACTGACCGTCCCTCCTTCCTGGTGCTGGTATAGCTGCTTGTGTGGTTCTGCGAGTAATCAGCCCCACTCTCCGTACCATAATGACTGGCACTGTTCTGCAGACGCAGGCTCCGTCGTGACATCTTAGGCGACTCGTACACAGGAGCAATCTGGTGCTCCTTCTCAAACTCTAATGCTGCAGTGGAGTAACTTGAACTGGAACAAGAGTGACAAAGAAAGAAGGGGAAAACAGAATGAGAAATCAGTAAAAAAAAAAACACAATATCATCAAGCAGCATATGAGACCCAAGATAGGCTGCTTCTATTGACTGTACCGAAATATATTTAGAAACAAGGATGAAAGACCAAAAGGTTTAGCCAGCAACACAAATCTCCTATTTTAATTTGAAGTTCCTCATCTTTAGCATCTCAGTGTAAGAGATTTCTTAAATGAAAACAAACACAGGCTTTTTATAGTGCTGTGATGCTGCTGGGTTGTTCCCAACAGGAAATTACTCACTCACATGGGAAAGAAAGAAGAGAAAAAAAACGTCTCTAAAGGCAAAGACCAAGACAAATATACGAGGCGAATATCCCCAACGCCATGAGAAAAAAAAAAACTCAGCTCACTGCTATTTAATACGTTAAGAGGAAACATACCGTGAATGTTCAGTGGCGTGCCTTACAGTGACTCAGAGGGCCACACCCACATCTCTGAGTGGGCTTTCTGTGCCAAAACTTAGGCATGACTAACAGGCCACATCTGCAATAATTCTCTCAGAGTTATTAGTTCCTCTTAGCTGGTGAATTCAGAACATTGCAAATGGAAATCTGAAATGTCAGTGTGTTTTGTTTTTTATTTATTTGTTTTTGTTGCTGATTAATTGATATTAAGAGGGTGAAAGTACAATAAGTCTCTTTGACCAGATGAAAGATAACAGCCGTCCTGTTACACACCTGACAATCAGCTATGCTCACTGTTTACAACAAAGCTGCTAGTTTTATCATTAGGGCACAAGCTGCTGTGTGTGTGCACATTGGCTATATATTACATCTTACTTTACTGCTCCAGCTAACTAGGTTGTAAATTCCAGCAGAAATATTTGGTCTTGCACAAGGTTTTTTTCTCTGCAACTCAGTCTGGGAATAAAATTTAAGGATTACACACCCTGACAGGGCCAATTATGCACTTTCAGCTTGAGCCTGCCTCCTACGTGCTTAACCAACTGTCTCCTCTCTAGTTAAAACACTAGGACCAGTTTCCTGCTCTGCATGTTGGGTGGAATTTACCTGCTGCTGAACATTGGACCAGTTGTTGGTAATATAAGCAAATAAGCCCAGCTGCGCAGAAGGCCTCAAACAAACAAACTAAAGGAATCCAAACTGATTCAATTTTTCCCTCCATACTTGCATATTTATGCATGAACCTCCTTCATTGGGAGTTTTATGCCAAACCCTCAAAGATTTGTGTAAACAAAGTCTGTTTCATTACTATATGTTTTTAAAACATGCTAGTGATCTGCAATCTATTTTGCCGCATCATATCCAATTTTTACATGTAGTTTGTTTTTGTATACATCTCTTGAAATTGTATTGCTGCTGATCTCACTGGAAAAAAAACTTGTTTTCCAACATACAGTATGGAACACCTGCAGTTTTCCAAGTTACATCCTGAGCCAAAGCAGCCGCGTTAATGAATAAATATCCATAAACATTAAAAGGCAAAATTATCTTATACCGATGCCAACTCATGTGTAGTCCTATCCTAGGGCTTAGTGATAAAGAAACAAATGCTGTAGCCTACAGCCACATACAAACATTACAATACACGGCTCTGCAATAGCATTTATACCCAGTGAACTACTTTACAATTGATCACAATGCAACAAACTTCAATTTAGGATTTTAGGCAATAAACGAACACAAAGCAGTCCTTAATTTGAGAAGTAAAAGTGAAATGATTAATGGTTTTCAATATTCCTCTCTCTCTTTTTTTGTTTTAACACGTGAAAGCTAAAAAAGCGGCCCCTCTGTCATTTATATTCAGTATTTTGAGTATACTGAGTATTCTGCAAAATGTCTACTTCAGCTTTTTATATCTACAGACCAAAACTTTTCCCTGTTCCTCTTTACAAAACAGTTAAAACACAGCTATAATAAAGAGGCTCAGTAAACAGCAACATTCAAGGTAAAAATTATCAACTGAATTTAGGTCTGGACTTTAACTAGGCCATTCCAATACATGAATATGTTTTGAAGCAAATCTCAGTTACCAAACTCCAGTTCTTCAGGGCCGATGTAAGACACAGCACTGGTCCACCACAATGAGCAGAAAAGGCTTAATCACTTCCTCATTGTTAATCAAGTTCTACAGATATTTGCTGATGACCTAATAATATAATCAGAGGAACTGAATGGTTATCAGTGCTCAGTTAAATTACTCCCAGAGGGGGACACTATTAAATAGTTAGGTGAAATACAAAAGATATGTCCCAAATTATTTACAGGTATCAAAGTAACGGAGGCTGAATTTATGTGATTCTTACACTTTTCCAATTTTTATAAGTAAAGGTTTTGTGATATGATGGCCATCACATAAAATCTTTTCTCCCCTCCCCGCCTTTTTTTAATTAAAGTCGCAACAGGTCAGATAACAACAATGTTAAAGGAGGAGCTCTTGTTTCCTCAGTAATTCTCAGTAGTGCTTAATTAGATCACAAACTCATTTGCTCTTATTCTCCAGGTTGATCTGTGTGTCGCTTCTCTGGGAGGCGACATTCACAGCCCACATCGGGGATATAAATAGAGAAGGACAAAGTAGATTTAGAGGCAGGAAGATACACTGATAAAGAGCCAAGCCTAGAGAAAAAATAAAAATAAAACATTCCCATCAGGATAACAAGCTTGCTAAAATAACATGTTACATAACACTATAGGTTTAAGTCATCTTCCTACATTTTTGTGGGCACAGTCAAACTTTCCTTCATGTTCAAAGTTATTGTTATTAAATGAGTTGAGCTGGATGCAGGGCACTTCTGAGTATCCACAAAGAGGATATAATGTAAGGCTGCAACTAACAATTATTTTGCAAATCAATTAATCTGTTGATTATTTTTTGATTAATAGATTAATAATCAGATAGCCAAAGGTTTCTTAAAGAAGACTTAAAGAACCAGGTGAAACTAAAACTTCTCCACTTGAGGGGTTCTGGATAGAGCATATTGACAGATGAAAGGATTTTTTTTATCTTAATTTTTTATTTTTTTTTATTTTGGTATAATTGCTGCTCTAAGTGGGTTGCTTTGTCAGATAAAGACATGCTTTAGAGTCTCTACACTCCAGTTAACGATTCATTGATTACTAAATTAGTGAATGATTATTTCAATAATCAATTAATTATGATTAATCTGATTAATTGTTACAGTCCTAATATAATTCTTCAATTGTTTGCTAGCTTGAACCCATTTAAAATAAAGTCGATTGACGTTACATCCACAGAACAGCGAAGAAACTTCTGACCCGAAGTACATTCAGGAAAATAGGTTACGGGCTTATAGATGCCTGAAATACAGGGGGTGTCAGTCTGCTCATCAAACGTTTTTCATTCGTAAAGGGTCAAATTATTAAAAGATATTTTTCACTAAAAACTTACAAAATGTCTGTTTAGGACATTTCTGTTATTTCAATCTAAACTAACAAATTATAACACTATTTGTCACTGATTGACGTTCCAGATTTTATGTAGTTTTATGTGTTTTGCTGTATAAGGCAATTATTTTCTAACTGTTATTTTGAATAATTTTTAAAAGTTTCTAAAGTATTATGTTGTGGGCAGTCTTGGTAGTTTTTTGGGGCTTTTATTCAGTTTATACGGATATCAAAATTGTATCATATCAACTAAAATTAAGAAATATATTGTATCATCCAGCTGTAATTTAGATGAATTTTACTAATTATTTTCGGGGTTTTGTCTTATGGTCTAAATTTGCTGGGACAATTGTGCAGATTTAAAAAAAAAAAATAAAAACACTAAACCTTCCTAAATAATAATCTGCAGGATTTTATGCTACACATAAAGGTTAAAGAATTTCAGGGATTCCATCCACTTTCTTGTTTTCCCCTTCATCGCTTTCGAAGCTTGTGCATCAACAGGGTTGACTGCAAACAGACTTTACTGCGTGAATATCTTATAAGCATGCAAAAAATTAATTGTCAAACAAAAAAATCTGCCTTCCAACAGCTTTTGAGATATAAACATTGGACACAATAATAATCCAATAACTATGCAGACCCGTTGTGAATTAAGGGTGTGCAAAATAATCGTCATGACGATGCATCGCGATTCTAATTTTTGTGATCTACTGCATCGATTCTTGAAGGCAAGAATCGATTATAAAAAAAAAAAAATGAACAAATAAAATACATTAATGGTTGGCGCACATCAGCCAAATCAAGTGGAATACAACTTCCAGTCCAGCAGATGTCGCTGCGGATGTGTTGACACCCTTTGCTTTGTGTCACAAGCATGTCCGGCCGCGGGATACTGAGACGAGTCATTCGTACACAAAATATGGAGGAGACTGAGAAAATTCGGCCTCCGGCTCCATCACATTTCAGGTCAGATGCTTGGATGCATTCTGGCTTTAAAAACAAAGAAGGTAAAAATGAAATTGATATGATGCACGTAATTTGCAAAAGGACCACTGAGGGCATGTAAACGGCACTGATTATCCTTATTTTGTTATTTTAAGTTTGATGAATCCTAAGATCTTTTTGTCAGTGTGTCCACACCAGTTATAGTAATATTTCTGTCCACTAATTGTTTTCATGGCAACATCTCCAAAATTCATTTCAATAAATACAGCTATGTATGAATTCAGTTGCTTTCAGTTAAGTATCAATTGAAGACATTATCCAGATCACACACAGCCAGTCAGCCACTGGTAAGGGCTGTATCTTTTTCTTACAGTGTTCAGTGAAAATATCGCAATGCATCGCAATATTTCAAGTATCGTGATGCATCGTGATAGAATCGCATCGTGGCATGTGAATCGTTATTTGAATCGATTAATGACTTCTTTGCCAATACCCACCCCTATTGTGAATACATAACTTTAACAGGTTTGCTGTAGAAGTGTTTCCAACTAACTGCTTCTATCGGCCTGACGTAGTAAAAGTGTCCCTTGTATTTTTGACTCAGTCATTTGAGCCAAAAAACAGTCAACTAAAGAATGATATGTAGCTGCCTGTCATAACACAAAAGTAAAAGCAGCAATTAAATGTGTTTTTGTAAAAGTGCTTTTCTCAGCAGCTGCTATTATAACTGAAGAGGAAGAGTCTGTGATTTCTGTAGGATGTTCCAGAGAGCATTTAGCAGCAAACCAACATATTATTACCAAAAGGCCCCTGAAGGACCTAAGATAATATTTTAGGTGGTAGTCAGCTCTTTTAGCAAACTTACCCGACAAACTCTGGCTACCATTTGTGAGATACACACACGTTTGTTTTGCACTGGAATAATAAAAACCATGTGGGTAGTAAATCGCAGCAGCAAAACCAGAGAGTGATTACAAAAGCTCGGTCCAAACCTTGCCAGAAAAGTTTTGACTTTGCGAGCACTAGTTAACACAACAGGGAAAGGTTTTTTCAGGTTAAATAGCTTTAAAAAAAATATGCGCAGTTCTCCAACAAATCAACATGTTGAAGTTCAGGCTTCCAAACGAGTAACACTTTGTACAAGAAATATATATTAACAGGAAACCAATGATGGAGTCTGTCAGATCTTTGACTTCTTCACTCAGTTCAGAATGTTTTTTATAGAGTAGCTGACACTTCTGTGCCAAAAGCTGAACATTTGGGAGAGGTGTGGTGTGGCAGTTCAAATAAGGCGCTGCCACACCACAGGCCTTATGTAGCATTGTCTGATGTAAGTAGTTTATTTTCAAACATAAAAACCTGGGAAAACCCTGGGTGGAAAACAGAACTGAGGTGAAAGAAATACTTTCTTCCTAGTTCCCTGAACTTAAATGGAAAAAGTATCTTTCCACAAAAATGTTTAAACTCTATTTACTAGAGGGAAGGAAAGGAGGGGGAGCTCTGGGCCAAATAGAGGATGTTCCATTTTCCATACAACCACTTTTGGACAGGAAGTATTTGGCTTTTGGCTTTTGACTAGGATCAATCATGCAGGGCCACATTTAACCGCCCACTGACAGAACCGACAGCACTTCCCTTATCGCACAAAAACCAACGTCACATGTTGCTGTGGTTGCTATGGAAATGACTATAAAACTTATGCTCTGACAGGAAACACAATACAGTGGATGGACAGAAAGCCCATCATACACACACAAGCTAGGCTGTTGGTACCTTGTAAAAGTATTTATTCCCCTTAAAATTCTATACATTTTATCATTACAAGAACTCCAACCCAATTTACTGGCATTTTCTTTCTTGTGAAAGACAAATATAAAGTGGTGAATACTCCAAGTGGAAGGAGACTACACTGGTGTGGATTTTAAATTCAGGTTCGTACTCTGATGGCCCTCTATAACCATCAATGCAATCAGCTGCTTTCAAAATCAGTGAGCAAAAAGTATCATGGGGACAGAGGAATAACCCAGCTACATCAAAAAGAATGAAATGAAAATTACTGAAAAATATCTTAAAAATAACCTATTTATTTGACGCTTTATGGTGAGCAGAATGACACCTCAGTAGTTCTGTGCTGATGCATCTACAAGCCTGGAGCCTGTTTTTGTTGAATTAAGGTCAGCAGTTCCCACGTTATTAGGCAGATGTGGCGTCAAAGGCGTCCATGTTGAATGGGTCCTTGCAAACAATCGAAGCTGAAGCTTTATATTCAAGATGGACTTTGTAGATACTCAGAATCGACCAACATCCAGCTTAACTCAGAGTCCAATGGCACCTCCACATAAGGTGGAAAAAATACAAATAAGAAAACTATGTCATGAACCAGCACAAGCTAAGACAACTACTAGGAGAGTGGTGCAGTTCTGTGTTTTGGCCACAGGTGGCAGTCAGGGTCTGAAATTAACACTCGCCAAATGTGACTAAATCATTAATTGTGCAAGTTAATGCCAGAGCACCATTCGCCAAAAGGCAAGTAAACGTAGGACCACAGTTAGGCTTCAGTCACATCCTTTCAACTTTCCTTTCGGTAAGTATTCCCTCTGTCCGTTTGTTCCTCACAAGCGGATAAGACAGACAGACACACATACAGAGAGCACACCCCCCACACCCTGTCATCTAAGCAAACTGGGGTGCTTTATAGTTGGAGCAACCAAGCCTTCTGAAAGACAACATGTCAATGACAAGAGGGAGCGAGGATTTAGAGCCCCCGGTTTATTGAAAGTTATTGAAAAATCGCGGTTTTGGGAAGACTTGGTTTTCGAAAGAGACTGGCTTATCTATGACAATGATGCTAAGCTAATGAGCTGCTCAGCATATAACAGATACGCAGAAGAGAACAGACACGATTAATTAGTCGATGGCTGTCAGTCTATGAAACTGATAGCATCCATGAACACAAACACAGTAAATGCACTGGATGTCCATGTATCAGGCTCAATATAAACAACCCGAGCTACAGCAACTTGGAATGCACTGATGGCTATATCAACACAAACACACAAAGAGTTGTTTTGCACTGCCCATCCAATAGGATGAAAGGCTAGGGATTTATTTATGGACAATATAACGTTGAAAAAAGTTTGTTGATTTATGAATGGTTTTATTTATGGCCACTTTATTAAATTAATGTATTCTGCTTTCACACTTTTTTTAAATTACAACTTTATTTAATGAAATTACATTACCTTGTACTGTAATCTTGTTTGCATTTAACATAATCCCATAGTGAAATAATACGTTCCTTAAAAATATATAACAGCAAATTATATTTACTTTTTTTCTCTGTGCACTTAAAAATGTGCTTGGCCAGTGAGTCAAAAAGTTCATTTCAGACACTGGTGGCATTATTATTATTGGAAAACTGCGTAACGCCTATTTAAAGCATAGTGGGGTTATAACTAGGACTGAAATAATTAATCAGATTGATTGATTATTGAAAGAATCGACAACTAGTTTTGTAATCGATCAATCGTTAACTGGAGTATAGAAAATATAAAATATGCCTTTAGCTGACAGAGCAACCCACTTAGAGCAGTAATAATATCAAAATTGTAAAACATTATATAAACATTTTGCATTTAAGATACAAAAAATGTTTTATGTCTGTTAATATGCTCTATCCATGAGTCCTCCAGTGGAAGAGTTTTAGCTATAACTGGTTTAATTTAATTAAATCTTATTTAATTGACCTTGGCTTCCCGATTATTAATCAAAAAAATAATCGACAAATTGATCTTGCAAAATAATCGTTAGTGACAGCCCTAGTTATAACAAAAAATACAGAGCTTTGAATATCTGTACTGTTCAATAAATTATCTAAAAGGGACCCCCTCCATTTTTTTGCACAACTGTAAACTTACAAAAATATGGGCATCTAACACACACAGAGGACAGTTAGGGAAAGTCCATCATCACAAACTCAACCAGACACCAAAGAGAGCTCTGGAGGAGCTTTGGAAGTTCACAGCTGAGACGCAAGAACCTGCAACCATAAATAATCAACCACTCCGCAAAGCAGAAAGGGGAATTCTGTGGTAAATGGAAAGCCACAAGAAGCTCATTAAGCAGTTTTCCAAAAGCCATGTAGTAGAAATAGCTCTACTAAGATGTAACTTTTACTTTTTGACCTACATGCAAAAATCCCAAACACACCACCCTGACAGCAATATGTCTCATCTAGTTCAGCAGAGGCAAGGAAGGCTGGCAGTACTGATAAAAGGTGGATAAAATATCCACACGGAAAGGCTACAAGATCNTTTTAAATATACTACCATTTAAATTTTATTCAAACAGTTCTTACTTTCCCTAGACAGAGCAGCTGTATTCAGTGGATTGGGTTTACAACCATATAATCTACCTGACACTGCAGTTAATCTGATGAGGACTGTGTTGAAACTTGACTTTTTTTATACGAGACACTTGCATACTTTCCCTTGAGACATGGGGGGCCCAGAGTTCCAATAGTCAAGTAATCGCACGTCAACTCACAGATGTCAGAAACTGCAGCACACACACCCAATAATAATTCACTGCCTAACCTACACACCCAAATGCCTTTCTCTTGTCTAACAGCTTCTAAGGAGGTAAGGTGACAGCTCTGAAGACGGTAACATTCCTCCACATGCACAGACTTTACTGGTAAGGTGCTGACCATGCCTAGAGCAAATGACGATGAAAACAGACTGAATAATGACACAAAGCGATCTCTACAATATATCAAAATATAGAAGCTACATTTACGGAAAAATGTAGCATAAACTACACTTATACAGTTTTAGAATATATTGAAAAAAACACAGAATGATATCTGAAAGTACAATCACCCATTCTGACTTTGTTTCTGTGCAGCTCTAACTAACAAAAATGTAACTTTTAAAGCCACAACCTGGATGTTTGATGCTGCAGTTATTGAGCTGCAGCGCAGCGCTGAGATCTCACCTGAGAGAATAAGTATAGCCGGTGTTCTCTGGAGCGCACTGTGGAGGCGTGTATGTGTGCAGCTGGGAAAAGTCCATGGTCATTCTTCTTTGCTTAGACTGAAAAAGTTGTTTTGCAAAGGATAGGAACCCCTTTAGTCAAATATGACATGTCAGGAGTAGAGTAACAAGGAGAAAACTGGACATAGAAAGAATACATGCCTGAATGTAATTGTTCAGTCTGTCTCTTCTAAGTATTTGTCAGTTTTAGCCATATGTTTCTAAAATTTTAGTAATGATTCATTTCACCATAATAAAAACAAATAAATATTCCCCAAAACTGCTCTTAAACTAGGCGGAAACAAAAACAATCCTACGCTGTACAGCCCCGTCAGAGAGTCCTGTCCCTAGGAAACACAACAACGCTGCTGTAGGAGAGTTGGCTGACCTCTTCCTGCATACTGGCTCCGGCTGACGAAGAGTATGGACACCAGTGAAGCTGTAATGAATGGCTGGCCTCTTCTTCTCTGGCAAGAAATTTGCCTTCAGCTCAGAGTGCGCGGCTGGTGGAGACAAGACGATCCTCTTTGCGTTTGTATTAAGCAGACTAACCACGAGGACAACTAGTCCCTAGGGTGGCGACTTGAGTAATGCCTGGTATTATGAAAGCCCATGAAACGGTAGAGAGGCGGGGAGGATCCTGAAGCAATGGGCGGGAAGCAGCGTGCCTAAGAGCTGAGCCTCTGTGAGTGGAGTCTACTTAATTTGAACAGGCATAACTGCAACACTAACAGTTTCTCTGCATGTTTAAACCTAACAAAAATATGAAAATCTAGCAAGAAATACTTTCTTCTCTCCGTGGTTTTGGTGCCAGTTCTGCTTATGATCATGCATGTGCAGTACTGATAAAAGGTGGATAAAATATCCACACGGAAAGGCTACAAGATCCTGGAGATTTCCTAGAATAAATGTAAAAAAAAATATCAAGGTTAAAGGCACCATTTCTCCTGAAACTAGCTGCTGTAACTTGCTTCCCACTTGGCTAACAGTGCATGTATTGAAGCATAGTTGAAGCAAAAGTTGAACAACTGCAACAGCAGGGTGCACAACAGCTGTCCAGCTGATAGAGATTAGACTGAGCTGCAGCTTGATGCGGCTGCAAATCTGAATGCTTTGCATTTGGCTCACAACTAGAGAAAAAGATAGTATTGAGTTAATTTTCCTAACTATTAAAAAATACTTCTTGCAGTTGTATTATTTACCTAAATGCAGCTGCAGGTTCGTTTTGTTATTTAATTAGATTTACATTATATATATATATACACATATCAGCATTTCTGTCCTCCAATGGTATTTAAGATGAAAATCCTTCCTTGTTTGTAAAAATTATCGATTGGGAATTCAAGTTGCTTAAGTTTAGCATATATTCTGTAAAAAACACCCTTTGTTTTTTTTAATAATAAATGAATCAAAGAATTTATCCATTGGGAAATAATCTTGAGCTACCAGTCTACAACCACTACAGTTCAAATATGAGGACTGAAATGTCTAGACACCATCTAGAAGCTCCAGCCCCACTGACCCACTTCAACAATCATGAAATATGAATACTCAGTCTGTTGGGGTTTGTTGGCCACAAACGCACACGCACCTGTTTTCAGTTCAGCACTGGTATAGTCAGCCGTTGTTCTGTAAGATGTGCAGCTAAATGCTCTTTCTTAATGTCCATAACAAGTTGAAAACTTTTTTTATTTATTCCTCAAACATTTATTGTGTTTTCAGTTCTACCCAAAAGTAGAGGCTGGTGAGAGGCAAATGATTCTGACACACCAGTTTAATTAGCTGTGGTGATCAATTGCTGACATCTTTCAATTCAATTCAGTTTATTTATATAGCGCCAATTCACAACACATGTCATCTCAAAGCACTTTACAGTTCACCAGATAATAGAGTCAAGTGGATTCAAAGATTTCTATCTAAGGAAAACCAGCTGATTGCATCGACTCATTGACTCAAAGGCAATCCCTCACACTAAGCATGCTTGTAGCGACAGTGGAGAGGAAAAACTCCTTTTAAACAGGAAGAAACCTCCAGGAGAACCAGGCTCAGTGTGAGCAGCCATCTGCAGAGACCGACTGGGGTTCAAGGAGACAGAAGCAGAGATACAGAAAGAAGAAGATACAAAAGCAACTGTAAAAGGCGGCCCCATCCAGGAAACACACAGCCAGGCAGACAAGCTCCGAGCCAGCTCCCATGTCAGAGGATGGAGAGATGCTAGCTACTCCTAACTACCAGAAATAAAACCAAAAAGTAATCTGCAATGACTTGTCTGTAAGCATTCTGTGCAAGTACCAGGGATTTATTTTCCATTGCATTGTGTTTAACCAACTTAAAGGTGAAAGGTTTAAAATTGACCCAAAGAAAACCAAAGCAACGACGGTGGGAACTACTTGGATAGAACTGGCTACCGGCCATAACCACAACGTAAATATCAGTATCAATATCCATCCAAAATCTAACAGCAACGCCTGTTGAACATTGCTGACATTTAGTTTTCACATTACATTGGAAATGAAAAAGTGAAGAACTTGATGTTTTTAAAAAACTGCCTTAAAAAAAAAAAAAAAGAGATCGACCGATAGAGTTTTTTCAGAGGCCGGCATAAACACCAATTATTTTCACATGTGTCTAACTGATCCCCAATATGTGAGGCTATTTTTGGGCTGATTCTTAGAGGCTTGATTGCTTTTACCCTCCATTTCAATGATAAAAACGACACCAATATAATAATAGTTAGAAAAGTAAAATTTTTAACAAAAAAAATCAAACATTCATTAACTAATCAAACAAAATAGTAAGAGAAGCAATGCGTGTCCTTCACCTGATCTATAGGTATTGCTGATAAATGCACTAATGAATCAGTGAACATATGCATACATTCGCCAATTTCACAAGCAAAAAATAACTAATAATAGGTACAAGTATCAGTCAGCTGAGAAATCGGTCTATCTCTATTTAAGATGTTTTCGTACAGGCTATATAGGTTTAGCTTTTAGCTCCTTTAAGATTGAACAGAGCAACAAATATCCATCAGTCTGCCTTTCTAAAAAATACTTTCTTAAAGTCAAACCAGGACATTTTCCATTAAATAAAACCATGTTAGTTTCTTTTAACCAAAGCTTTTACATCCTGCTGCATACAAGACTATAACTGTGTGATCTGGAATATTGTCTCTCTATATACAGAAAAAGAGTGTAGCAGAGGGTCTCTTTTTCCTGCTACACTTGGTCTATTCAGTGCCACGAAACTTGTCACAGCTCCTTTGAGTTTTAACAACAGATGAACCAACCGTTTGTGTCACCTGACCTTGCCTGTCGCAGCACTGCTCTCTCGAAAACCAGGCAGACCCACTCAGATTCAACACATTCAACTAGATTCATTAGACCTAAAAATTAGATTCTTACCACATTCCGAGGTCTGTTTCTCAGGAGAGGACAGAATTACGGTTCAGCAGCCAAAACCTAATGAAATGCAGTACCACAGTGTTCTAGACACGCTAGTCAAGAAGCATAAACTATTAGTCTAATCCTGGGATCAGAGTCGCAGTTCTAACAGCGAGGTTCATTAATAGCCTCTCAGCTGACTGCATTCAAAGGAACCCGATTATCTTGTTCCTGTCTCTCCATCTACCTGGCAGGCTCCACAGAAGGGGCGGAAGCTTTTAGTAATTCCCCCTAAACTGCACAAGTCAACAGGCTGGATTCTTTAGAAAACCCATCAAGTCAGAATATTTCAGTATGTACTTTTTCTTTTACATTATAATTTTAAACTCATTTAACTTTCATTTTAACATTTAACTATGACCTGATTCTTTTTTTTAATTCTTCTTCTTGTCTTATCGATTCAAATGAAAGTTAATATGCAGTGCAATGCAGTGGTCTAACTTGTGCAGCTTTTAAAACTGAATTGTTAATTAATTAACATCAACCATCACTATTTTAAAGGTTACAGTAAGCAAGATAACAAATGCACGTCTCAAGTTACAGCCTGACTTAGTAGTTGGTGTCAGTTTTTATCATTCTGACTCTAAAACTACTCTTGGATATGAAAAGCGCATATATGAGTCTAAACTAAGGCTGAAACAATAAATCAGATTAATTGTGATTAATTAATAATTGAAATGCTCGTCAACTAATTTATTAATCAATTAATAATTAACTGGAGTATAGAGAATCTAAAACATGTCTTCAGCTGAGTGATCCACTTAGAGCAGTAATTATACCAAAATTGTAAAAAAAAAAAAATATATATATATATATATATATATACATTTTGAATTTAGGATTACGGTAGACAAATCTTTTCCATCTGTTGATTTTCTCTATCCAAAACTCCTTAAGTGAAAAAGTTTTGCTTCATCTGATTTAATTTAGCAAAAAGTCCTCTTTAAGGAACCTTTGGCGGTTCGATTATTAATCTGTTAGCCAAAAAAAAACCAAAAAAAAAACATATCGACAGATTAATCGATTAGCATTTAAAACCATATTTTAAATATACTACCATTTAAATTTTATTCAAACAGTTCTTACTTTCCCTAGACAGAGCAGCTGTATTCAGTGGATTGGGTTTACAACCATATAATCTACCTGATACTGCAGTTAATCTGATGAGGACTGTGTTGAAACTTGACTTTTTTTATACGAGACACTTGCATACTTTCCCTTGAGACATGGGGGGCCCAGAGTTCCAATAGTCAAGTAATCGCACGTCAACTCACAGATGTCAGAAACTGCAGCACACACACCCAATAATAATTCACTGCCTAACCTACACACCCAAATGCCTTTCTCTTGTCTAACAGCTTCTAGGGAGGTAAGGTGACAGCTCTGAAGACGGTAACATTCCTCCACATGCACAGACTTTACTGGTAAGGTGCTGACCATGCCTAGAGCAAATGACGATGAAAACAGACTGAATAATGACACAAAGCGATCTCTACAATATATCAAAATATAGAAGCTACATTTACGGAAAAATGTAGCATAAACTACACTTATACAGTTTTAGAATATATTGAAAAAACCACAGAATGATATCTGAAAGTACAATCACCCATTCTGACTTTGTTTCTGTGCAGCTCTAACTAACAAAAATGTAACTTTTAAAGCCACAACCTGGATGTTTGATGCTGCAGTTATTGAGCTGCAGCGCAGCGCTGAGATCTCACCTGAGAGAATAAGTATAGCCGGTGTTCTCTGGAGCGCACTGTGGAGGCGTGTATGTGTGCAGCTGGGAAAAGTCCATGGTCATTCTTCTTTGCTTAGACTGAAAAAGTTGTTTTGCAAAGGATAGGAACCCCTTTAGTCAAGTATGACATGTCAGGAGTAGAGTAACAAGGAGAAAACTGGACATAGAAAGAATACATGCCTGAATGTAATTGTTCAGTCTGTCTCTTCTAAGTATTTGTCAGTTTTAGCCATATGTTTCTAAAATTTTAGTAATGATTCATTTCACCATAATAAAAACAAATAAATATTCCCCAAAACTGCTCTTAAACTAGGCGGAAACAAAACCACCAGTAAATCCTAGGCTGTACAGCCCCGTCAGAGAGTCCTGTCCCTAGGAAACACAACAACGCTGCTGTAGGAGAGTTGGCTGACCTCTTCCTGCATACTGGCTCCGGCTGACGAAGAGTATGGACACCAGTGAAGCTGTAATGAATGGCTGGCCTCTTCTTCTCTGGCAAGAAATTTGCCTTCAGCTCAGAGTGCGCGGCTGGTGGAGACAGGACGATCCTCTTTGCGTTTGTATTAAGCAGACTAACCACGAGGACAACTAG